CCCCTTCCACTCTGTGAGTCTGTGAGGAGTAGAGCTCCTGGTGGGGGGGTTCTGGGCTAACTACTGAGCAGCTGGCTTATGCTGAGGAGTGGGGAGATTCAGTGAACCTATTCCTTCTTACTGAGCCTACGAGTACCTACACTTCAGAAATCAGTGGTCTGAGCCAGCACAGTAGTTACATACAATGTAAAAACAACACTCTGTTATTTTAATTAACTTTATGGGTTCACTTTTTTTTCTTGTAGCATTAAATAGCATAAAACTCACTTTCTTGGTGTTTTGCTTGTGGTGTAACAAATTGTTGTCCTGTTTGGAATTCAGATTTCCCTAATCTTTTGCTTTATGGTACAGTTCCCAAACTGCTCCCCTTGCCCTGTCCCTGTGTTTCCAGAGCCGACCGTAACCACACGCAGCGTGAGGTGACCGTTCGCAGCAGGTAGCGTCAAAGCAGAACGCGCTCCGCGTTACCCTGCCGTGTTTCTTCGATACAGCCTCCCATTGCAAAGTTTCCTCTTTCTTGGTGCATAGGGGTTTTTGTCCCAGCTGTAGTTAAGAAATTAACTTGGGCAGTTGAGGGGTGGGTGTACAAATTGCTCTGCCTCGGGCAGCCAGGCCGGCTCTGTTCCTTACAGCGCGTGACGCTTGGGAGCGAGGCAGGAGGCGCTAACTTCCCTTCTCTTTTTTTTGAACAAACTCAACCCTCTCCAGGCTCCTGTGAGAAAATAATTCTTTATTTTCAGAACAAATAATACAGTGAGTATGTGGACCCTCTTTCTTTGACAGCCATTTTTAGTTTTGGACTGCTTGTGGCTGGAACCCATGAGTCCGCAGGGTTTCGGGGTGATTCAGCCGTGAGGATGAGCCGAGCGAACGGCAGCTGAAATGCCCCGGCGTTAGCTAACAGCTGGCAGGTTCGTGCTGATGTACAGACCAAGACTGGTGGGCAGAGGGAGATTTTTGGTTCCTACTGGTGACCTCAAACTGAGATAACCCTGTAAAAAGCTGCCGGACGTGAGCGGTTAGGGGCAGGGTACCGATGCTGGAACGTTAGGTGAGCACGGATCGTGTGCCTGGATGCCTGTGCTGAACCAAGGAGATGCAGTTTTGTGCCGGTTTTGGGGAGAGGGTGTGTGTCCAGCTGCCTGAAAGGCACTGAGGTGCCTGGCGGGCTGCAGATGGGTACAGGGGTGAAAAAGCCTTCCATCTCCCTGCTGTGGTTTGGCAGAGATGAGGAAGGACTGAGGTTGCCGTCATCTTTCTGGTGACGGATGAGAAGTGAATCTCTGATCTCAGCATCCTTCCTGCCACCGTGTCTCCCTCTCAGCCCCCTTGTTGCTGCCACGGATGGTACGAACGGTGTCTCTTAGCAGAGCCTGCCAGCCCGAGGGAACAGACGGGGGATGGGGAGGTGCCCTTTCAGCGCCGGGCTTCCTTTGCAGCAAGCTGTAAAGCCGCCTCAAGGTGTACCTTGGTCTGTCCCGCCTAGGCAAAAGCTCTGACTCCAGCGCTGCCCAGCCGGTACCTCGCATCAGCGCTGCTTTTTGTTTCCTGGGCGGGAGCAGCAGGAAACTGTAGGTGCCTCTAATCTTTACACTTGAAATCTTGAGGACGCTTTCTGCCTGCGCTGGGTTTTGTTACTGCCTGCTGAAACTTCGCGGTGATGCGCCCGGAGAGAGCGGCCAGCTTAATCTTAGCGCACGTTTTGCAGAGCGTGTGCCACCAAAGTGGCACCGGAGCAGCGCTCAGGCCCTCTTTGGTGAAGCAGTTTACAGGGTCAGAGCCAGAAGGTCACAGTTACTCACCTGTTACTGCTTCCTGAGCATTATCACCTTCCCCGGAGGTGTTTAACAGACGTGTGGACAAGGTGCTTAGGGACATGGTTTAGTGGTGGACTTGGCAGTGCCAGGTTTTGCTTGGATTTGGTGATCTTAAAGTTCTTTTCCGACCCAAACCATTCTGTGATTCTGTGACCAGGAGCCAGAGCAGGCAGAGCTGTGCGCTGTGAAGCGGGTAGATGGTTCCTGGGATCTGTGAGGCGAGTACTGATGTTGAATTGAATCCTCCTTCATCCCTGGGAAGAAGGGAGCGCACCTGAACGTGAGCATTGTTTGAAGGGCATCTAGGGTGGCATCTGTGAAATGCCTTTGGTTGGTCTCGGATCGGTCCCTGCTGTGGGTTTGTCCTCTGCCCCCTTCGGGTCCTGGGAGGAGACCAGGGATGCGCTTGGCTCAGGGAGCTGACCTTGCCCTCGGCGAGGCCCGTCGGGCTGTTTTGTACAGGCACAGCTCCCCTTTCTGTGGTTTGTATTATAATCGGACGCTGGGGAAGAGAGTAGCTGTATGTCCTACATCACAGAGTGCTTTGGAATGCCTAATCGTCATCTGGATGCTCGGTGCGATACTTCCAAGTCCTGGATCCACTCGGAAAAGCACCAGGGGCTTTCAGAATGGGGCTGTTGTCCTTCTGATGTCCCAGCCTTGCCAGGACACTTCAGCAGTCCCGTAAAAGCTACCCGAGGAGGCAGAGGCGTGTGTAGGTGGTGCGTAAGGTGAGAGCGTTTGGCCTGGCCTGGGAAAGTCGGTTGCACAAAACCAGGAGCTTTTAAGGACTGAAATGGCGCGATTGCGGCTGAGCGCGGGAGGGGGCGAGGACAGGGTTCACCTGTCGCTGTGGGCGCTGTGGGGCACATCGTGCCCTCGCCCCGGGAGGGCAGCTCTGGCCAAGGCAGTGCAGGAGGCGGTGGGAGTGCAACCCCGCCCCGTCCTGGGGAAGGGGCCTGCGGTGGCAGCCGTTGTGCCAGCGCCCCCGGCTGAGGCTGGACCCCGTTATTACCCGCAAGGAGCAGACGCCACTGCGCTTGGCCCTTTTCCTTGCTCTCAGCACAGCTCCCCGCACGCACCGAGGGTCGCGGCCGGCGCGGGGCGGGCCGCCCCCCC